GTACCAGGAATTGAACTCAGGATCTTGCACTTGCCAGGCAAGCACTTATTCTACTGAGCTATCTCTTTGGCCTGAATTTCCAGAACTGAACAAGGAAAGTCCATGATGCCTCCTTACCTGATTATAGGATTACTGCAACAGCATTTAGGCAGCTTTATTACAATACATCTTAACTTTATCTACGAGCTAGCTATGAATCAGATTGATAATCCTCTGGAGTTTCTTTCCACTGTGATCCAAAATCAATTAAGCAAAAGGCTCTTTCTCTGGCTTCTTTGGATAACTCCTCAAAAGTCTCATGAGAAAAGAACAGGCCTTCCATTAGATAAATTTTGGAAGTAGAAAATCCCCCTAACATTTGCAGTCATTCGTCTGAAAATGCTGCCCTTATTAGGACTTGGCTAAATAGATGTGGGCTCTCTGTTACTCCTGGGGATGTACCCTTGTCTGATCCATTACCAACATTTTCCCTGATCTGTTTTTACAACCTTGGCTCTGAATTTCCAGCTGAATAGTTTTTATCATCATTAAAAGGGTGACAAGGGAAAGGAACCATAAAACATTAAGCAGGAAATGAATTGCCTCCTTCTGTTTTCTTCTCAGATACCGAGCAAATATACAGGAAGAAGACTAGTACATGAACTCTGTGAAGAACGAAGCGAACAAAGCAAATTTTACGAAAGATTTCCAGTGCTTTGGGTGTTCAAAAGTGGATTTCCCTGAGTATTAATCCCAGCTATCTCCTTAGTTCAATTAGGAGACAATCTCAAATACTAAAAAGCAGCTAGTTCGATTCCAGGAGTCTAGTAGGCAAATCGCACATCCTGAAATATTAAAAGACAGTAGATATGGAAGGCCCTGTGTTTTGTCCTTTGAGGAAAAAAAAAATTGTGCCCATAGTAAAATATGACTTCTTTATATGGTTGGTTTGGCTATGGTCAAAAATTAGTTAGAACCTCTTATTTTAATTACATATTGGGGTTTGAGGCCTGAAGCCTGAAAGTCTTCCTCAAGTCTGAATATAGAAAATGGGGTTTTCTGTAGCATGAGTCAGATCCACTTAAGAAGCAGTGAAAATAGCTGATCTTTTTGAATGGTTCTCTTGTTACCGGGCCTTGGCCCCGTACTTAGCCAGAGCATGTGATGAGGAGAACGGGAGAGAGGGTGGGGCTGGTGAGGGCTGAGCTTCACCCCCTCAACTTGCACCGTGACAGAGTTACAGGTGATTTTACTGCCTCATCTTTCTGTCCCTCTTTTCTCCTTGTCTTCATATCAAACGCTAACAGTGATCTCTGGATCGATGGTGAAAATGAACCTGTACATGCTCAGCTGACACAAAATTTGGGCAGTGGAGAAAGCAAAGGATCATAATTATATTTCAGATCTTTCAAACCATCTACATCTAATTTATCATCTGACACTATTTAGGCTTACTGTGATCATGCGTTGGTCGTGCTTTGGGTAGATCTCTTTATTTCTGGATCAGATGTATTCAAGTTCAAATTCTACATCATGCGAAGTACAAATTTTAGACAGGAACCATTTTTACTAAGTGAAAAAAAATTTAAAAAACCAAAAACGTTCCCAAGATCTATGCACAAGCAATGCTTCTGAACCAGTGAATGTGAGGAAGAGGATCCCTGTAGCCTCAGCCACATGGAGTGCCAGCCGGGCTCTTGTTATTGTTTTAATGACTAGTCAAGAGTGGGTGAACAAGTATTTGTAAGCTAGGTCTCATATTTTCAGAATGCTTTTCTACAGATTAATATAAAAGGATAAAAAGTCCTATGTCTCAGGGGTTATTGCTGGGACCCCAGTGAGTGAAAATATGTGGGTGTCGGAGCACATCCTCACACACAAAGCCCCCCATATATGCGTGTCGTTCAGCATCCTTTGGAATGTGAACAACCAAGGAATATATGGGAAAATATTGGAAATAATAGAACATATTGGAACAAATTAAGAATAATTCCAGATGTGTTAGAACACCAGCCCTCTTTTTGGAGAAAGATAATTATACCTATATAATGTAGGATAAATGCTGTGATTGACTCCATCAGGTTTGGAATCCACTCTAACAATAAAATAATGTATGATTTGTCACTGGCATCCCCCTTTATTGCTAATTCATTGATTTTCTGGATTTGGGTTATGAGCAAACGTGCATAAACGCAAAAGATTTGGCAAATCAGTCCATGGCGCTGGAAACTCTAG